AAACAAACAAACAAACAAAAAAACAAAAACAAAAACAACGAAGAAGGGGAAAATACATAATTTAATGAAATCAAGAGTTTTTTTTTCTTTTTCTTTTTTGTCGTTGTATTTGGCTTGAGGTATGGTGTTTGCGTCCCTAATCTGTGATGAGAGAATTCTATCTATCTCTATATATCTCTTTTTTTTTTTTGGAGAGCTCTGTCGTCTTTTCACCTTTTGATTCATTTGTTTTCTTTTCCTACTTGATTATTTTATTTCTTGAGCTTCTTTGAGAACATATAGATGGCTCCATCAGTTAATATTTCAGTGTTTTTTTTTTTTTTCTTTTTCTTTCCTTTTGGATGTTTTCTTCACCCATTTGTTCTGTTCTTGATTATTATAATTATTGTGTGCTCTTTCTTTTTTTTTTTTTTCGGTTTTTGTATTTGCTTGATTTACAGGACGACGCAACGCAGTGTAGGAGAATAGGAGTGGACTCGCAGTTGCAACAGGAACGTCTCTGAAGGATAGATATAGATATATAGATATCCTTTTTTTTTTAGTTTGTATACAAAAATATCGAACAGACGGAGTGTCTGTTATAAAAGAGAAAAAAAAAGAAAAAAAGCATACTGATAAACATATAGAAAGAAAAAAAAAAAAAAACATCATACATAGATTCATGACCCAACCACCACAAGTACAAGAAACACAGCCTTCTGTATCTGATCCATCACAACGAATTCGTGAACTTATTGATGAAGTGGCGAGAAAAGATAATGCGCTGCAACAATACCGAGAGTTATTTGAAACCATGGGAAATGACTACGAGGTGGTGCGGCGGCGTGGGGAACGGGTACAATTAGAATTCGAAACTCTTACCGCCAAACAGGAAGATCAGCAACAGGAGTTGATAGCGCTTAAAGCCAAGAATGCCATGCTGGAGTCACGTGTAAAGCAAAGCGATGAGGACTGGGAACGTCGCACACGACAGTTAAGACAAGAACTCGCAGCGGCCATTGAGGAACGCGACACACTCGCAAAAGAGCGTGAACGCGAGTGGCAACAAACACGAATACTTCGCACGCAAAGTGAAGAACAACGACGACAACAGGAGATGATAGAACTTGAATGGAAGTCTAAATTAGAGGAGACGCGTAGAGAGACGGAGGCAAAGGTGCGGGCGGCACTACGTGAGCGTGAGGATCTCCTGCGGGTGCGAGAAATGGAGTTGCAGCGGGGAAGTACACAAGTAGAGAATCGATTTGCAGATCTCACTGCAGAGACACAGCGACTGCAGGATGCGAATAATACACTTTCACTTCGCGTGAGTGAACTCCAACGTTCTCTGCAGCGACAGGAGAATATTACCCAACGACTGGAGTCTGCTCTCAGTGCGGAGCAGCAACAGAAGATGCAGCTTGAGGAGTCTATGGCATTAGAACGACAGACACACAAACAACGACTGGCACAGGTAGAGGATAGTTATAGAGTACAATTGCAGGATATGGAGCGATTATGTGAACAACTTCGACAAGAACAAGAACGACAGCAGAAAGACGCCGCACGCACAGAACGGGAATTTAAACAAACAGCACAACGAGCAAAAGAGGCATGGCTTCAACAACAACAGCAACTAGAGTTAACAATTGAGTCTCTTCGTGGGGATATCTCACGTGAACGCATACGTCTTGATAAGTCAGATGAGGAACGCCAACGTACGGAGGCTCTATTACAACGTACACGCCGTGAATTAGAAGCCGCCCAGCAACAGGAGGAATCACTGCAGGAAACGAATGCAGGATTACACAAAATTGTAGCTAAGCGTGATGCCACACAAATGCGATTAGAGAGTGAAATCACACGACTCATCGCCGCTGTGGCAGAACGTGAACGGGAGACGGAGCGGTGGAGATGTATTGTAGATCGTATGGAGTGGCAGAGTCGACTGGAGACACAACGGGGTATAGAGAATACACGGGCACTTCCGGCAGCACTCTCACCACCACCAACTCCACCACCACCACTACCACCACCACTACAGACTCATACATCACCAGCAACAACAACAACAATAACAGGAACGACAGGAATAGCATCAACAACAGGAACAATAGAAACAACAACAACAACAGCAGTACCACAAACAAAAGCGATGGGAAGTACTACACCATTGGCAGGAACAACAGGTATGAGACGTCAAAGTCTAAGACAACCGGTGTCGTGGTCTACACCAAATCAACAACACTTGAATGTGGAGAGTATTGAATGTACACCATCGGGTAGTAGTCCTCTTATAATCCAAAGGAATAATGATCCTTCTCAGGCTGAGGATGAGCAGAGTGAAATACTACGTTCACTGGTACAAGAGGTTCTTCAAGAGTATATACCACAAAATGGATCCTCTAATACTACTACAAATGCTTCAGCTATAGATCCTCGCACCTCTACTTCGCGGCGTCGTACAGTCTCATCACATTTACCACAGCGGTCGGAAGAGACACGAAACAATGTACGTCCAATTGATGACTCACCACTAGATGGAATTCCAGCACCATCACCTATTAATCATACCAAACCACTTCAAGTTAACAATAGACGAAAGCAAACAAGAACTAGAGAAATGGATGCAGGATATAAATCAGTACTACGTCAAACACCATATTCAACAACTTCTGCGGATACTTCATTATTACAGTCAGCAGCACCTTTATTCCCTTCAACAGCAAATAATACTTCCTTAGACTCTTCTTCCATTTCACAATCACGTCGACGGTTTGCTAAATCGCATACTCAAAGCGAAGGATCAGTATTTGGTGGTGTGGACGTTCCAGTATCATCACCCTCAGAAGTTGAACCTAGCCGCGATAATGGAACACCAGCAACAGCAGCAACAGCAACAACAAAAACAAAAACAACAACATCAATGATCGAACGGTATGCTCATGAACGGGATGCTACTGAGAAACAGATGATGCAAGCGTTGCGTGGCCTTGATAAACGCCAGAAGCAGCTTTTATCAACTGTAGTAAATGGTGAGGGTTCTATAATGGAACAATTTCCAATTCCCGGAATGAAAGACAAAAAAAAAGAGAAAAAATAGTAGTAAAACACACAATAGCAGTGGAATTTCCTCTGTTTCCTCATCTGCTAGTGGGCACGTCTCGTCACCGTCATTATCAGAACGGGCGTCTACTGCGGCACCTGCTCCACCACCACCACCACCATCGCGGCTTACGCTCCTACAGGAGCGTTTTGCGACGATGCCTATCGTTCAGTGATATCCAAAGCAAAAGAAAAAAAAAAGAATAAACACACAAATATATATATATACAAACGAAGAAACAAACGGGTACGATTTTCCTTTCTCTTGTTTCACTTTTTTCCTTCTCTCTTTCTTTCAATAGAGACTATGTCTTTGTTCTTGACAGTTTTCGTGGGATACTGGGTTTGGGAGTGAAACTGATTATTTATTTTTCGTGGAGTGCCAATGAGCGCAGGCACCGTCATGGAAGCACAAAAATCATCACCCAGACTATTCTCATTGCCAGCGAGAACAACAAACGAACCTCTTTGAATTTGTTATTATTATTATTATTATTATTATTATTATTATTATTATTATTATTATTATTATTATTATTATTTATTTATTTATTTTTTTTT